AAACCCTAAACTCTGAACCCCAGGCCCCAAACTTCTAAAACCCATTACTCCCCAAACCTTACCCCTAAACCCTAAACCCTAAACCCTAAACCCTAAACCTGAAATCGAGCCCTGAACCCTACACCCCGAACTCCTAAAGACATAGACCCCAAACCTTAAACTCTAAACCGAACCTTAAGACCACGACTCCTAAAGCCTAACCCTAGGGGTTGAGTTTACAATAATATGGGGGAGGTAGCCGCCCATCCCTCATGAATGACCACCTACATGGACCCTAAACCCTAAACCAATAATGGCCTGTGAGGCTCTTTTACCTACTTTGGGGTCTCTCTGCTGTAGACGCATTTACCTGAAACCAATCCCTAAACACAAAACCAGAAACCCTAAGCCAGCACCAACCTTGGATTACCTCTAGTAGTCCAGAACCCATGAAAAGATCCCTAAACCCTGAAACCTTACAACATCCGAAGCCCAAAGCCCCTCAACCCCTAAACCCTAAACCCTAAGACCCTAAACCCCTAAATACTATAACCCATAGTGTTAACTCTCAACCTCGCCATCGCTGCGACTCTCTTGCGCGTGCACTTATGTAGAAGGCTGAGTACCTGCACATACATGCTGTAGTCGCTATAGTCGAACACGTCTAGCAGCCCCCTTGATACCCTAGGGGAGAGGGTTTAGGGTCTAAACTCCTACTATCCACTTTAGTATCTTAATATCCCCTATAGTACTCCCCTAAATAACCCCCTTTAAGGAGTTTAGACTACATCTCATATGGCATTTGTTCAAAATGCCGGTCCCAGACATGGCTATAAATTAGGTTCCTTGTTTGGTTACACCACGGCACATAGCAACCCTACTAAAAGGGTTTAGGGGGTTAGTGTTTGGGGTTTAGGGTTCTTTGGGGTACCGGTAATAGGAATATAGGGTAGCCCCCTGAGCCCCTAACCCTAAATAGTAGTTTCCACTTTTCTTTTCTATTATCCCTTTATATACCTTATACAACCGCCTTTACACCCAAGACCCTAGCCAAGTGCCAGGAAGGTCAGACTCCCCTTCAGCCAGCGTATTCCTGAAGATCCCTCATTTACAAGAAAATTTTCAACGAGGCTCATAGAATTTCCTGATAGCAGGGTTTAGGAAGGTAACTTACAAGACTATATTATAGTATAACATACACCCATGCCCATTTTCAATGAAATCGGCCAATACATTATGTCATATGGTAGCGTTCTATTTTATGGACTTCCAAATTCGACACCAAATATACACGTAAGTATTCTAGATACACTCACCAAAAATCACAAGAAGAAACCCTACTCTATGTGGGCTATCGCCTAAAGTCCTCGTATCCCCCTTAATGGGCCCTAGAACAGCAGCCCTATATAATCCCCTATATAGACACCCTAAACCCTTAACCCTATACAACCCCCTTTAAGGAGTTTAGACTATAGAGCTCATGCAAAAAAAAAACTTGGCGCCCCGGCCCCGAGCTCCTCTTGGGCGCTGCGGCCATTATGAGTCTCATGCCTCCGCGGGATATATCAAATCTGGTCTGGGTTGTGGCGTACGGCTGAAGGCTCGGCTTGGGGAATAAGGTTAGGGGGTTGGGGTTTGGGGTTTTAGGTGTGTTTTGTGTTTAGGTTTAAGGCTTAGGGTTAAAGTCAAGATCCAGAATTTCAGCCTGATAGGACCGCATACTGTAATTAGTTGTAGGAGATTTTCGAGGATGTTCACTGTTGGTGCTTTTTTTTTGTGATTGTCTGCAAGACAGGCGTATTGGGTTCTTTGTAAGGCCCAAGACATAGGCTCTAGGGTTTAGGGCCCCATATAAACCCATGAAACTGACTAGGGTTCATTGTAAGCCTGTAAGTAAGCTATGGCTAAGAGTTTAGTGTCTAAGGTAAACCCTAAACCACTCTTGCCCCATTAGTCCAGGAGTTAGAGGAACATGTTTTGTGAAAATTCCGGCCCGCGCCATGGGTCAAGAGCTCGCCCGATCAGCGGAGAGATCGCCCTCTTGGTAGGTTGTAGGGTTCCCCTACTATCCCCTCTATATTACCGCCCCGTAGGTTCCCCCCTTACTTAACCTTAATTGGCCGAATTAACTTACTGAACGGGAGAACATAAGGGGGTAGTATAGAGGGGTGTTGTAAAGGAATCCGTATTGTAAAGGAATCCATGAACTGCTGTTTTGTTACGCTCGCCCACCCCTAGACCCTAATTAAACCTTACCCCCAAACAATAGGGATTTCAGACATGCTGTTTATACAAATTTACTCGCCCAAAATCTGAGGCCTTCTGCTGAATTACGAATTTGGGTTTTAAGTTCAGGCCAAATTTTTGGTTCTCAGGATGTTGTCTCAAGAGTTTGTTGTCCGGAGCATTCTGGGGCAGAGGCTTGGGCCAATCTCTAAACCCTAAACCCCTCAATCCAGATAATTCCTTGACAGCAGCCCCTTGGATGAATCTCAAGCAGATTAGGGGTTTAGGGTTTAGGGTTTAGGGTAGGTCCTTGCAATTTTCTGAAGCAGGAGAACCCGCAGAGGACCACGAAGAACTAGTTTTACAGGGCTGAGGAATTGGGACTTGGGCTACTATCCTCTGACTCCAAGCCAACTCCGAAATCCGAAATCCCACTAAAAAGACAAGGCCCCTTGGGTCTTTACAGCTTGCTGGTGCGCAGGTGGCAAAAGCAAGCTTTGCGCCCCCCCACCAGCCCCCTGCAAATGTGTGTCAATGCTCTGCTTGCCGACATTATCACGACGTTCTCTAGAACGCAATGCGCCTCCATGCGCCCTCCTCCTCCTCCTCCTGCTGCTGCTGCTGCTGCTGCCGCCGCCACTACCACTGCTTCTTCTTCAACGACAACAACGACAATGCCTTAATACGACGATGACCACTACTGGAACCACCACAACCAACATAAGCTTCCTCCCTTGATTGGGTTTCTAGGGCTTTGCAGGGTATGTAATGGGTGTATCAACGTAAACCCCGGGATTACCCTGAACCCTCAACCCTCAAGCCTAAACCCTAGACTCTAATCCCTAAACCCAAAACCATTCTGTGACCCCTGAACCCTAACCCTAAACCTTAAACCCTAGTCCCAAATCAATCGAAACCCTAAGCCCTAGACCCTAAGCCCTAAACCCTAATCCCTAAAACCCTAATCCCTAAAACCCATGGTACCGGCCAGCCTTCTGCTGCATTTGGACTCAGACTCCCAAATTCATGCCGCCCACCGACACCTGGAAGTTGGCCTTGAGTAGTCGTTTCTGAAGGGTTTAGGGTTTAGGGATTAGGGTTTAGGGTTTAGGGATTAGGGTTTAGGGATTAGGGTTTAGGGATTAGGGTTTAGGGATTAGGGTTGAAACCATGGGCCTCAAGTATGGGCCCTTAGCCCGCGCATACTTCTAACCTTTGGGTTTCAGGCTTTAGGGATTTGGGTTGAGTGACTCGGGGTTTGGCATACAAACAAGATGTAAGTTGAGGGTTTATGGTATGAAGCTTGAAGAGTTTAGGGCCTATAGCGCTTGGAACCCCTCAGCCCGAGACCCTAACCCTCTGAGCCCTGAACCCTAACCCACATGGGCGTTTGGGGACGAGGCGTTTGTATGGGGCACTTGCTTCACCGGGACAGCCTAAACCCTAATTAAACGGTAAACCCTGAGCCCTAAACCCAAAGTTTAGGGTTTAGGGTTTAGGATTTAGGGTTTAGGGTTCAGGATTTAGGGTGAGGGTTTAGGGCGAAGCCCTGAAACCTAAACTAGCTGACATGAGTTGCGGCCCCAACTCGCTTTGAAGCGATGAGCAGTCATTGTCCTACACTAAACAATCTAGGCCTTCTACTGAACATGCTGGGGTCTTTACCTAGGTTCACAAGGTCTAGGCTGCAACCACCTGTGGACTGTGGACTCAGGATGTGGCAGATCAAACGTGGTAAATGACATCCAACCTCACTAAAAATGGATAGCGGTCCCCCTAGTCATGCCATATGGGAGTTAAGAGACTGATGCTCTGCCCAATGCATTGCCAACATGAGTGCAATGGGCCTCCAATGCCTTCAGAATCTA